AAAATCCCTTAATTGTTTCCAAATTCATGATCTGTATTTTCGAAATTCATGATCTGTATTTTCGAAATTCAGGATCTGTATTTTCCAAATTTAGGAACAAATTTTAAAATTCAGAAACATTTCTTAAATTCCTCAACCTCTTCAATTTTGTGAAGATTTTTCAAATTCGTGAACCTTTTTTTCAAATTCAAGAACTTTTTCGGATTTGACAACATTTTCTTGAATTCAGGAACTTCTTTATAGCACGTGCTCGCAAGGGCAAAACGCTAGCAAGCAGCCCTGCATAGAGATGGATCAAACGAGCCACATCGTATGAGAGCTAAGGAAAGAGCACTTGTATGGCGAACTATATGGGCTACATGCCACTAGGGGAGCGTGTGACCACCAGTACTCTCTTCGTGGCGCTTCAGGCGCCAATGAGGATGAAAAACGAAAAAAAGTGAAAGCACGACCGGAGGGCAACAAACGTTTCCGCGTGTGGCCAGCCCAGTAACATGTTTTTTACCCTTTGTTCTTTTCTCCGTACTATCTCTAGTTCTTTTTTTTCGTTTTTCATTTTAATTTCCCTTTTTATTTTACATTTTGCTTTTTTGTTTTCCATTTTTTACTTTCATGTCTTATTTTAAAAAATAAGAATACTAAGAACTTTTGAAATCACATGAATATATATTCTGACACACTTGAGAACAACCTGTCTAAAATATATGAACTTTTTTCACAATTATGAATATACGCTATTGCCTTTCATATGTAGGAATAATTTTTTTGCAAATACATGAACCTTCTATATTTAGACACAAAATATTATTTCTTTTTATATAAATATTTGTCTACGTATTATATACTGATATTGAGAGGATTTCTAAAATTAGTAAATAAAAAAATTTGTGAGAAAAATAAACTCATTTTTGCATTTTATAAAACAAATAAGTTAAATGGGAATCACCATTTGCTGGCATAATTATATAAATGGATTGTTGACCTAGTGCTAGCATAGTTGCCACTTAAGGTGGTATATAGGGGCTTCCAGGCACGAGCGCTCTACCAAACGAGTTCTAAAAAAAGGAGACGAACGGTCTACCTTATCTCAGCTAGCCCTCCATTATCATGGGAAAATATCCAGTTCTCCAATCGTCTACTGCTTAAAATTTTGAATTTAAATGTTTCAATTTTTTTTTATATTTTTTATGAATGTTCACTAGACATGTATCTACAATCAATAGAGATGATCCAAACTCAAAATATACATTGGGAAACAAAAAAGAGAAATCTTTATGTGAATAGTGTCATTTTAGCCGAGTTTGTCTTTTTTGTTTATCAATGTAAATTTCGAGTTTGGATCTGATTTAGAGGTTATGGACACATGTCCCATGAACATTCATAAAAAAAATCAGAGTCTGTTTGAAACTTTTGAAATTGCTTTTTTACACATTGGAGCACGGGAGCACCAAAGTGTTGGGAGCAGAGGATATTGTCCCCCATTATCATTTAGTTAGATATAAAATAATTTTTGTATGAATATTTTGCATGCATGCATGTGAAAGTAAGCCATCGAAATAGATATAGCTGCGGATTAATATGGTGGTATCTCTATTTTCATGTAAATTAATTTGTTAGCTCGCAAACTAATATAGTGATATGTAGATAAAGTGGATATATTTCTCACTTGCACTATATCTTAGTTACCAAGACCTTTTTGTATCCTTATTACCTAAAATTGCACAATGTCTAGCACAAAGATTTAGTATTGAAAGTGCACACTTTTATTAGAACGAAATTGCAATCTTAGGGTGCATGATTATTTATTTATTTGCAGGAAAAACTCGATCTATTCATCAAACTTTATGGCAGTTTAAAGAACATCAAAAGTAACAAAAATTGCATTCATGTCTGTAGACTACCTAGCGACGACTGCAAGCACTGGAGCAAACCAAAGGTGTGCCTCCATCATCAACCCTCCCTCACAGGAGATGGGCAAACCTTGTTTTAGTAGACAATCAAAAAGACGTCATGCTAAAGCACCACAGGACCAGCGCACCAGAACAGCAACCGTCACCGATGAAGAGAAGCGTAGATCGGAAGGACGAATATGTAAACACACGAACATGGACGAATGAAGATCGGACCCACACGGATCTACCGATGAAAAAACACCGATTGAATCATGCATTATCCGCTCGAGACACACCTCCACGCGCCTTCTAACAATGCGAGACGCACTGCCAGTGCAAGTTAGGGAGAACCTTATTCCATATTCAGGAGTCGTCGCCGCTTCCCTTCCTAAGCAGGACACAAATCGTAAATAAACTTTAAAACACCTAAAAACGAAGCAGGAGCCCTCCCGCCAGCATGGGTCAGGATCCACCGTGCTTCCATAGCACTAAGGCCACATGGGACAAGACAAGGAAACCTTAGATGCATGGGAATCACTCATGGGGGAGGATAAAAATGTTCATAGAGCCTTCCAATGCTAGTTAACAGCATGCGTGTATGATTTATGTGAAACGAGATGGGGATGATGATGATGATTAAGTGTTTAGGAAAAACCTAATGTCATATATTAAAATTCACCGGACATTACAAACAACCATGAAAAAAAAGATAACGCTCAAAGACTTGGGGGTGCCGAGGTCTTCTTCCTCCTGCATCTACCGGCGCCACGCCGTGCTCATAGGCCGATCCCTTCTCTGGGCCTCCGCATTGATGAAGCAATTTTTTTGAAACCCCAAGAGCTTGTAGAAGCAGTGGAAGTCATCGATGCAGATTGACGCCGGCGACCACGATCAGCGAAGCAAATCATCAACTAGAAGAAAAGAACGCCGAAAAGGGCCTGTAGAAATTCCCTCTTTTGCAAAAAAACAGCATCTGAATCTTTCGTAAAAGTTCATCAAAAGTACAAAATATCCCAAACATAATAAAAATTACATCGAGATACTTAGACCACCAAACGACCAATTCTACCATCAAAACTAGCCGCCGATGCGCCGCGGTTGCTGCTCCCATACTAGAGCCGGCTTGACCTTGTCAATGACAGTCGGGAAGCTAAGGACTAGCGCCCTAGACCAGCAATCGTCGTCGTTGAAACCTTGAACTAATCCGAAGTGCCTGGCACCATAACTCGCCACCGCACTCGCACTATGAGAAACCCTACCGGAGCTTGTATATTCTGTCCAGATGAACAAACTATAGGAGAATTGGAGTGTGGTAGATCAACTCGACAAAGAAGCGCTGCCATCCTCCCAAACACTGCCCTGCAAAGAGTAAAAACCCTAACCTAACCTAGTCAGAGCAGAAGCACCGGGAGTCCCCTCTCAGTCATCGGCCGCTAGAGAGGTAGGTAGAGGGGAGGATAATCCACGGGCCTATAGAAACTCTAAAGACCATGAAAGTCGGTCAAATCCAGACAAATCCATCGAGAACTGAAACCGACCAGATCCCACAATATCCACTAGAGACACAAAACCACAAGCTCTCCGTCGGTGATAAGCACACAAATGGAACAGGATAGGGTGTGGAAGACAATATTTTGAAACTAAAAAAGTGTCGCCGCCACGCCGTCCCGAACCAAATACAAAGACTCCCAAAAGACAAAGCTGAGACAAATTTTCGATGTTGTTTTACGCCAAGTCCAGATCTGAGATCAAACCCAGAGCCGTCCAGGGCCATATGCCGACGTCGTCTTCTCCGATGGCCTAGCTCGGCCAGGCCGCCATAGAAACACACGCGCTGGATATGTCCGGCCGCTATCGGCTTCACCAGCGGGGCCGTTAAGCATGGCCTGACGAAGGCTTCCAGTTGAGCTCTCATCTCCTTCTCCGACCGAAGCAGCCCTCCAAGACCTCCAAAACATGCCAGCAAACCGTAGAACTAAGGCTAGATGTGATGAGGTAGGTCAACGCAGCGCCGACGGAAGGCAGGGAAATCCTGGACACCTGGGAGTCGCTTGTGGGGGAGGAGAAAAATGTTTCCTAGAGGCTATCAATGCTAGTTAACAATATTTTGCGTGTATGATTTATGTAAATGAGATTGGGTGATGATGATTAGGTGTTGATCCAAAGAATAGTGAAGACGACTGAAATTAAAATTTTATTCTAGATGGTCCATAATAGACAATTATCAATTTCTTCACGAGCCCTTGTTCACACGGCCAGGTCCCTCTCCATCACAGGAATATTGTAAGCTAGCTATAATGGTATAATTCTTTTGTCAGTATTGGGATTATTTGTTAGCGCACACACTGCCCACTGGGCCGGATTGACTAATAATTCGAGCTAGCTGTAGCGTACTCGTCCATGCATGCATGTGCTGGTAGTAGCATGCATGTGCATGCCCACATGGAATGAAAACGTACGACGTAATAGTTTCCTACTTTGTCTCTGATGACCTGAACATCAGGTTAGCCAGCTCGAAGCGCTGCATGATATATCCCAATTGTCATATACATACTATGTCTGCTTCTACTCCCTTCGTTTCTAAATGTCATACATACTATGTCTGCTTCTACTCCCTTCATTTCTAAATATAAGTTTTTTTAAAAATTTCAATGCGAACTACATATATAGATGTATATAGACATAGTTTACAGTGTAGATTCACTCATTTTACTTATGTGTAGTCTATATTGAAATTTCTAAAAAGACTTATATTTAGAAACGGATGGAGTATATTACTGTTCATATTATATTTTTCTATCAAATTTTCTAGGAAAAGCTCTCGTGTTTCTGTTCGTTAGCAAACGAGTTAAGCTCCAGTAATGGTACACACGTAACATCCAACAATTGTGTACTAGTAGTGGTGGTTGAGCATATTTTTTGCAAATTGCCGCAAGAGTCAAATTGGAATGATCATGACATGAACGATGCAGTTGCACTTGGGCGCTGCACCCCGGCCTAGCTATAAATAACACCCCAAGAAACCCAGGAAAAGCATACCAAGCTAGCAAAGCCAACCTATCTCAGCCACAAGCCAGTACACTCTAGCTAGCTACTAGCTTCGTAGCAATGGCGCCCTCCAAGCTCACCCTCTTCCTCGCCCTGAGCCTGGTCCTCGTGGGAACCTCGCACGGTTGCGGATCGTGCGGCAACACGCCGTCCGTGCCAGTCCCAACGCCGCCGATCGCCGTACCACCGCCAGCCGTCCCAGTGCCAACCCCGCCGATCGCCGTGCCCCCGCCGGCCGTCCCAGTACCAACCCCGCCAATCGCCGTGCCCCCGCCGGCCGTCCCAGTACCAACCCCTGGCGGCGGCGGCACTTGTTCGATCAACACGTTGAAGCTGAGCGCGTGCGCCAACGTACTGAACCTGCTGAAGCTCAACCTCGGCGTGCCGGCGAGCGAGCAGTGCTGCCCGCTGCTGAGCGGCCTCGCCGACCTCGACGCAGCCGTGTGCCTCTGCACAGCCATCAAGGCCAACGTTCTTGGCATCAAGCTCAACGTCCCCGTCGACCTCGTGCTGCTTCTCAACCAGTGCGGCAAGACCTGTCCCGCCGACTTCACCTGCCCCAACTAAATCCATGGATACGTCGATCGATCTACATATGACAAACCATGCATGTTGTACATGCATGCGTACTCGTCGCCCCGTGCATGCATGCATGCTTACGTTTTCTTTTCCACTGAGTATGTATAAGCTAGTCATCGATCATTGTATCCCGTACGTTATGGTATCTAGATGATTCGCATATTTGTAAAAGTATATACATACTTGTACACGTACGTGGAATAAAAAGTTTGTTCAAGTTGTGTTAGCTAGACCCGTGATCATAATCGGATGCACACCTTTTCGCATGCATTGGCTGCATCTCCTTTCTAATCAAGGTCTCTCTTCTTTCCTTTTCTACCAGTTACTAAGAGCAACTCCAACGCAGATCACCGAATCGATCGCAAATGTTCGCACTGAATAGTATGGACATTTTTGGTCATCCAACGACTGCCACGAACTGTCCGCGGACA